GAGTGATTAGTAATCTTGCTGTCTTGGTTAGTGAAGGTAAGTCTTGTTGGTGCTTAAATACCAAGGTTTTATGCATCTCAGAAATACCTTATATAGGACCTGTTCTTCACTGCATTGCACCTTGTACGTTCATTCAGACCTCTGCCAACTAGATGTAAATGCTATCTATCTGATTTATTTTACATCCACTTTCAACAGGTGTAAGTAACTACACACGATGCAAAACAGGAGAGAATCAGGCCCTATGAAAGAAATCCTGGCCTTGACGTCGTCCATGGGAGTTTCAATATAGATTTCAGTGGGGCCAGGATTTCACCCTATGGCTGTAAACCAAATATATCCTTTAAAAATAATTAGTCCTCTAGTTGGAGAAAGAATCCCTCATTGAGATCAATATTAAGCTGCAGTGCTATTTTATTGTGAAATTTCAGTAGCAATAGTGGTTGTGAACAAAGCTAAATCTTCCTCCAAAATGAGATAAATAGAGATTATTATAAATATCTTTTCAGAAGTATATTTACAGCTGAGAAAGAAAGCAAGATGAGCTCTCTCATGAGCGTAGAAGTCAGGGCATGTTGATGCTTTGAAATCATGGAATGGATTCTCTTGGCCAGATTCTTGTTCCTGCTCTGGTGGCACAATGAAGCTAGAAAGCAGATTTAATCAGCTGTCAGGGGAATCCCTAGGTAATGTAGAGCCTATGTGGTCCTTCTACACCACGTCCTCCAAGCCCCCAGCACAGGGGTCTTTCCTGGAGAAAGGGGAGTGTAAGCAGGGTGGCTCTGTGCTCCAGCTATCTCCAGGTGTGGACCAGCAGCCAAAGGGGCTGCTGGGACTGGATCAGTTCCTGGCCAATGCCAGGATGTGGGGGGAGACAGAAAGTTGATTTAATGCCACCTTTGCGGCTCCCCCTGCTTCTGCATCTAGTATGCCTCAGATGAACCAGAGAATCTGGCCTCAGATGTGCTGTACTTGAGACATTCCAGAATACGAGCATTTGGGATAACCTGTCAAATTAAATGTATTGTTTTTAAAAAAATATTTTGAAGGTAGGGAAACTAACTTTTTTTAAAAGTGTTGTTGTAACTGTGTTGGTGCGTGGGTCCCAGGATGTCAGAGAGACAAGGTGAGGTAATATCTTTTATTGGACCAACTGCTGTTGGTGAAAGAGACGTGCTTTTCTTAATGAAAAAAAACACAGTATAATGATAGGTGCAGCAGATATATTGTCAGTCAATCTCCTGTCCTATAGTATCCTTTGCACTTTCAGGGATCGCAGTTATCCAGAAGAATACATACAGCCAGCAGGGTATTTAAGCTTTGCTTTTTGTAATTGCATCAGTCTGGACAACTGCTTCTTTTTTTCACAGCATTTCCATATTCAGTTACTAATTACCTTGCTTGTAGTTACAAAACTGACTGGCAGTATCAGAAATAACAGCAGAATCTACAAGCTGTTAGTTTTAAGTCAATTGCAATTTCAATTCCTGTCCAAAATATTTGTAAATAAATCTGCCTTCAGAATGTACTTATAATGAAGACTATACAAGACTCTAATATACTACTAAAATTAATCCATTGTCTCTTTAATATAATAATTCTATCATCTGTTGTTAGTCTATTAGACACTTTACCAAAGCCACTACAAACCTAGCCTAAAACACCAAACCTCATCCTCATTGTTAGCTTTGATAGTTGCCTCTATCATTTAATAGTTTGCGTGTAGCCAGTCCAAGTTGGCAATGTCACCCCAAGCTGATTCGAGCCACAGACATTTTTGCTGACTGGAGTCATGCTATCTTTGCCAGTTTGCTGGAATAGACACAGACACTGATTGGGTCATGCTGAAAACATTCCTGTCCTGTGAAGCAAGTCTGTTTGTATTTTAGGTTTGCCAAGACTAATGAATTAAAAATCTTGAACTCTCCACAGTTTGCTGCTTATTAATGCCTCTGTCAGAAGGATTTTTTTTCCCTCTGAAGCATGACAACATCATAAATCTCATTGTTGAAAAGGAAAGGAAGAGAGAGTGGAATTGCGAAGAAAAGCGGAATAGGGTGGTCTTGTGGGATAGCAAAGCCTTTGGGAAGTGCAGGTAGCAGCATGTTGCCTTAACAGCTGTCTCAGTTTCTCAGACTCTGTCAGTTTGTTGCTATGTAGCAGGTGCAGCCTTTTCTTTTATTGAATCTTTACTCCATAAAGGCAACGACAAGCCAAGGCAGTGGCTAGCCCTGGATTATACAAGTGCAGACTCTCCACTAAGTGAGGTAAGGCAACAGGTGTGAAAACTGAACTAAACTGATAGAGCTGTAACACACTTAATCTGAGTTCTGCTACAGATTTTTATAAAGAAACAACAGCCTGTTCCACAGACAGTCCTCATGAATATGGAACTGCTTTCTGGGATCCTTTTAAAGAACTCATTATACTCAAAGTTGCCCACTCCCATATCCTTCTGTCTACAGAATGATTATCCTTTTTTGTGTGTGAGGAAAATAAGTGGGAAGTTTGTACGCAGTTGATCTGTTTCATTTCCCTGAGCCGATGGGACATTCATCATCCTATTTACATACACAGCACTGAAATGAAGGTTTTCCTGCCTTCTTGTTTTCTTTATTTTCTTTTTGATGATGGAGACCATTGAGGATTCTGCAGAAAATCTGGTGAAGAAATAATCTTAATTCATAAAATGAGATAACTGGCTCATGTACAGTGTGTATATATAGATAGGATTTTCTTTCCGTAAATTAAAACAAAATGAAAGTCTCTTGTGTAACATTAAAAACATTAGTTATTGAAGGGAGTATTTATTTTTGCCCCCAGATCGGTAACTAAATACTGGTAACTTGTAAACATTGTAGACCACACAGTGTGTGAATGGGACAAGACCACTGATTTACTTAGGACAGTGCTCAGTTATGGTAAGCTTAAGGATTCCAACAAAAGACATCCTATCATGTTTGTTGTTAAAATGGTATTAACTTCCATGAATGTTTTTTCTCATTTCTTAATCTGTGATATTAAACATGAAGCATCTTATTGTGTAGAAAACCTGTCTGATGATGGTTAACAGATGTGTTGCATGTGTGATACAATATGTAATGATGAACAGTCTTGTTTTCAAAGTTGTGCGAATTTGTATCTCTCTTTTGTTCTAGGTTTGTTTGAGAGTCATGTGGGGAGGGTATGTTATGATAAATAATTTTGGTTTTGCAATTGTTCTGTTTATTTAAAAAAAAAAACATGCAAGGTCTCAAATACTTTTCACAAAGAGACCATGGAAGAGGGAGATCGTTGCTCTAGAAAAAGTTGCTACATAAACAGACCCCCCCCCAAAATGCATTTTGTCTGTTTAAATGACTTTGTGGTCTCTCTTCCAATTGATGCTGGTTGGGTGTGTGTGTGTTCTTTTGATTAGTAATAATAGGGAAGATGGGGTTATTCATGAGAATCCTCCAAATATTAATATGAAAAGAGGCTACCAGCTCCAAAGTAAGAATTTTTAGAATAATTGTTCTGTTTTTTAAAGAAAATCTAAGCACTGTAAAACATCCACTATTTGATCAGAGTTCACGTCAGTGGCTTATTGTGTAACATTGCCACAGAGTAACAGTATCCCTCTGCTGGCTAAATGCTCAGACAGACAAAACAAAAAATAAATGTTTAAGTCAGTGGGCCAAACTCATGCTTGCTGCTACTCTACTGCCTGCAAAGGATTGATGCTAGGGATGAATTTTGTGCATCATCAAGCAAGGCCTTTATCTTGTAATGATGTTCTGTTGTACTGATTTTATGTGATGCTCTAATAATTAAACATAACATCAAATGGGGTGATGCAATTTTAGTGCAGAAAAACAACCATTGCTTTCGAAAGTGTTACGGAAAAGCTGCAATGTGATTGGCTAAGAGAACTGTCTTTTCCCTTTCCATCAATTAAACGCCACAGTGTCTACAGAAGTATAGCACAGCTTTTAGCAATTTTGCTATACTTTATTCAATAATTTGATTGCCAATTTTCTGTGGGTGTTTTACACTTGTGTTTATTTCTTTAAATGTTATTCATGTAGCAATCCACCTAGGTGATATAGGTGCAGTGCACTGCTGGGTAATGCTTGAAGTTTGCTTAGTTCTCTTACCGCCCAATGTTACAATGATTTCTGCCTGGGCAGATCTTTCACCAATGTAAGTTCCATTAACTTCATTTAGGCTCCATACAAGGACCTGGCTCATTGCAGGATTTGGGCCTCAGTGTATACTGTTTGTGAATATTAATTACAGCAGCTTTATATGAGATATATAGGAGTTTAAGTTGGACATCAAATACTTAGTAGACTTTGTTTGGGAAAAAACTTTTATACGAAAGTCTAAATACACATAATATAACTATAAGTTCATAAGCCTGGACATGCTTTAAGCTTATCCTGTCTAAGTTGATAGCCACTGAAGACCATTAATATTTGATGGCTATTTGGTGTTCTGTGTGAAATAAATTGGGAGTTTGGGACTGTTTCTTAGTGAAGAGTGATCCACCTCATTAAAACCGCCATTTGGCACTGGCAGACTCCGAAGAAAGGCCACAGGCTAAATTAGGCCCTGATTCTGCAATTGACTTCCTCTATGCAGGCCCTTAACATCTGCAAGGAATCCCACTGAAGGATCAGTACCAAGGTTTGGAGAATTAACAATCTTCTGACCCTTAAATGTTTGACTGTCCAGGTCAAGGCTGAGATATGCTGACAGGACAAAGTGGGGAAATTTTCTTTGTCATTGCCTTTACCTGAACTGTGGATAAATCAAGGAATTTAGCCTCTATCACTGAATTTCACTTTAAAAAATTTTTAAAAGAAAAATCAAATGTAGCCCCATGCTTGTCACCTTAAATTTGCTTTATTAGAATAAAAAATGCAAAAAGTGCAGCTATAAATGTGTGCAAATCACTAAGCTGAGGATGTAATGGCTTCATATGCTCAGTAATGTATGCAATATTTATATAATTGCAGCTGGAACGCACAGATAAACGCGTAGACTCAAGTGCCCACATGATCACCACAGCAAGAGTACCTGCTGATAAGCCAGTCCGAATTGCCTTCAGTCTAAATGACTCCCCAGGTACAGTTCAATTTTATGGAATAAATCAAAATGAAATGTTTCTAGATTTTATATGTTCTTGATCATATTTATATTACCAAATGAAGTCGAATGTCATGGATGGACTTTTTCCATGTGTGTGAATGATCAATATCAAACTGGTAACTACAATATTGTTAGAGGAAACTAACAATAGATTAAAATCACTTGTCCAACAGCCTAGATACTGTAAAAGTGAGATTTATTTCAAGAGAATGTGGAATAAACATAAAACTATGACTGAATTACCAATATATTTGCATATAAACTGAAAAAGTGTGCTAAAACTCCTGGGCAACATTTTTTTTATTTTGTTATTTTATTTTGATGGAGAGGGCAAAGCTGGCATCTAAGCAAAGCACAGAACAAAAAGACACTTTCCCATAGGCAAAAGGGTTGAAGAATACCAACGGAATGCCCAGCTTGAGGGAAGGATTCAGGAAACAGCTGCTCAACCTGGCATGTTCCCCGATAAAGATTCCAGTACCGTTTGTCCTGTAAACTAATGTTGATGGAGCGTTAACTTCCCCAACGTAACCTGTGCACATGTGAACCCTTGGATTAGGTTCACATTATTGAGTGTACCTTAATTTTTGAAAATGCCTAGAGAGCTATTGATAGGCACTTTGTGAAAATCAGAATGAAATAAAGAAACCAGAAACATGGAAGCAATGGCAGCATCACAAAGAAGGAAACTAGCTCTGCTGCCAGTGGTAGGGGAGAGCCTGGAGGCAAGGCGCAGGTGTATACAGAGCTTGAAACTCACAGGGTTTCAGTTATCATTACTTGTTGAACCCACTTCCCATGCATGTTTGTAAACTACCCGTGCTACAATACTATCTGTCTCCCTTTCACAATATGGATGGTGTAGCTCAGCTTCTGCTCTCAGAAGTCACAGATCTTTTCAGGTAAGTTATTCCATTCTGTGCATTCTTACACAAGAGAGTAACATATATATTCACACAGCATTCAGGAAATGGAGCATTATTATTCCTACAACAGCCTTAACTCTGCTCCGCGATTTTGTTTTTCATTCTTTGTATCCTTATTTTCTCTGTACACTCTTTAGTATCAAACTGCTTTTGTGTATGCTTTTTACACACAGGACCACATTCAAACCTGGTATAAGTAGATATAAGTCCACAGACTTAAGTGGAATAGCATCCACTTATGCCGCATTTGAATTGTATCACGGAGCAGAGTATAAGCTGTTATAGGAATAATAATGCTCTGTTTTCTGAATGCTGTGTGAATACAATCTCAACTCCAATGTTACATTCATGAAATTTTTGTCACCTTTCTTTTTTCTTGTATAATATTTTAAAAAATATTTTTAAATAATCTTCCTGTATTTATTACTACTTAATATTACAGTAGCCCACGAAACCCAATCCACATCACAGCTCTGAAGGGACGTATAATTATGTATGGTAACATAGTCCATATGCTAAAAACTTTACAAAGACAAGTGACATAAAAGTTGTGAGAAGGATACAATCTGGGGGGTGGGGGAAAGGGGGGAAAGGGTGCAAGCTTATATATGCCTTGTTTTGTAAATTATAATTACCAGTATATTATAATATATAAAGAAAGTACCAACTATCCCCATCTGCCCGTCAAGCCATCCTTAACAATCTGATTTCTTGTAAGCATCACTGCAAAGGTAGGTCTTGAAGAGAGATTTTAAGGAGGGGAGGAGGGTGTCCTTCTGAATCATGGAAGAATCAGCTGCTTGTGTTAAGAGCTGAAAATCAGGCAAAGGAGGCTTGCACAATGGGCAGAGCAGAGGAGATGGAAGGGCAATGTGATAAGGGATAAGAGAAGACAGTAGCGAGGGACAAGGTTGTGAAGAGCATGAAAGGTCAAAATTCAGTAATGTCGCAAGCTGTTCCCTTCTCTCACCCTGTCTCCTCTGCTCTGCCAATAATTCCAGACTCTATCAAAATTTGTAAGAAGGTTCAGAACTATGAAAAGGTGATCATTCTCTATTAAATTCCTTAGGACTTCCTCATTGCCCACATTATCTGGCGCTCAGCATACATGTGTTATTGTAGCAAGTGATCCAGACCGTCTGTGAAGATAGGAGAGAGTAAATAGGAACCAGTAGATTAAGGACCATATTTCACACTGAATTGCAACCCCCGGAGGGCTACTCAGAGGTATAAATCAGCATAGTATTTGACCTCATCAGGAGAATTCAGCACCTGATGTTAACGGAAAGCCTGAATGGAGATATCAATATCGAATGTATTTAAACAAGGCAAAGGAAAAATCACTCCAAGTCTGAGGTTTAACAGAAAGCCACATTCAAATGATCCTAGTTCAAACAAGCAACTGAAATGTCTTTTTTTAAAGAGACACTGCAAAGAAACAAATCTGCTGACACAGCGTCTCACTGCCACCTTTATCCATTTTAAATTTAGAATCTTTTTTCTTCTTTTCACCTTTTTATATTCCTCTAATCCTTTTTTCATGGGAGGAGAGCTGCTTTCCTCAATTCAGGAAGGAGTTCTGTGTTTCAACTCTGACAGCATCTTGAGAGATTTAGTATTGTGATGGTACACCTCTATCCTGATATAACGCTGTCCTCGGGAGCCAAAAAATCGTACCACTTTATAGGTGAAACCATGTTATATTGAACTTGCTTTGATCCGCCGGAGTGCACAGCCCCGCCCCCCTGGAGCGCAGGGCTGCCCAGAGGATTCAGGGGGCCTGGGGCAAAGCAGGGCAGTTGCGGCGCTTGTACTCACCCGGCAGCGGTCCAGGTCTTTGGCTGCATTTCGGCGGCGGGGGGCCCTTCAGTCGCTCCGCGTCTTCGGCAGCACTGAGGGACCCGCTGCTGAAATGCTGGCGAAGACCCGGACCGCCGCCAGGCCAGGGCTCGCAGGGCCCGGGGCCTGCAGCAAATTGCCCCACTTGCCCTCCCCCACCCCTCTGGGCAGCCCTGCTGGAGCGCTGCTTTACTGCGTTATATCCGAATTCGTGTTATATTGGGTCGCATTATATCGGGGTAGAGGTGTATGTAAAAACCTCACCCAGAACGAGGAGGTGAGTGAATTAAACTCATTTAATTTTTTTTCTTAGATGTTGTCTTGTTTGCCAATCATGGTGGCAGGCGTGATGCCCCATAAGGCTGAATTATTCTACCACAGTAGTACAGGGAGTAATTTACAACATAACCAGATATAAAAGGGGAAAAGGTCTTCTGGATGGTGATTATCTCACTGGTTAGAACTGCAACAAAGTACTGGGTCTGAAAGCAGAGACTGTTATCAACTCAAGAAAAGCAAGTTATTTAGTGTTATTTATCTACAGGAAGGGATATAGCTTATGTTATCCATACCAAAAATTGTTTTACTGTGTTCAAAAGTTGGCTCTTTTAGGGCCTTTTAATGACCACAAAAACAATTAAAACCGGACCAGTTTTGTGCTGTATTTTTATTGTGATCGTGGGGTGACCAGGTCCTTAAAAGTCTTGAGGGAAGTCTGACCAACTACTAACAGCGATGCTATATAAAAATACAGTTTTACTGTGTATCACTTAATCCTGTAGATATAGATATCTATATTTGATGCTTTTACTCAAGTTCACTAAACTGGCACTAGACATAAATTCTCTCATGGCTTGTCAGATTTGTAGCAGTTTAGCTTAAGGTGTGATTTAAAACTGATTGAATTAAACCAACACAAAAGGCTGAGTGGACAAGCTTATTTCAATTTTGCTTAAATTGATGTAGGAATAGATTTAAACTAAACCAAATAAGCTGCCCTTAAGCCAAAATAAGGGCACATCCACATTTAAAACAATGCAGGGGCGCAGCTGCACTGATGCAACTATGCAAATGTAGCGCTTTAATGAAGACGCTCTAAGTTGAGGGGAGAGAGCTGTCTCATCAATTTAGTTAATCCACCTCCCTGAGAGGCAATAGCTATGTTGGCAGGAGCTCTCCTGCTGACATAACATTGTCTAAAAGCGGGGGATGTTAGGTCGGTATAACTATGTTGCTCAGGGGTGTGGATTTTTCACACCCCTGAGTAACATGTTATACCGATACAGGTCTGTAATGTAGACCAGACCTAAGAGTGTCTATGCAGGGCTTTGCACCAATTTAACTGAACCAATTTAATTAAACTAATTAAAGTTTGTGTGTAGACAAGGCCTCAATCAAAACCAGAATCAGAGTCCATGGTTAATTTTGTTTTTTACAGGTGTTAGGACTAAGTGGTTGGAAGTAGGGGCTTTATTCTGATAGGACATGATGGGCATGCCTGTAGTTTGTAGGTGTACCTAATCTTGTTTTGTAGGTAAAATACACAGCTTCACATGCCTAAGGAGAGTTTGAATCCAGCTATAAAATACTGGCAGTGGAATTGGGTTTTACCTAATTGTTGAATACATGCATTTTTTTCTAATTGTCAGTCATTTATTTCACTTGAAGTCAGTTTGCTGCTAATAATCACTTCCCCTGAAAATTTACTGGTAAAAATGTATGTGCTTTCTTTTAATGACATTGTTGGGGACCGGAATAATACAATATTTGGATGTACATGAAATTACTTCTTTTGACAACTTTCTTTATATTCCCAACCATTTTAATCCAATCCTCCTAATGTGATCATGGGGAACCCTTGCTTTTTGTTGTATATAGCCACATAAACCAATAACTGTGTTTTACAGTAGATGCTTCCTCAGCAGCTCCTTCAAATCCCTCCTCCAGTCTCACTTTTATCATAATGCCTGAAGCTGAAAATGGATAGGTAAAGGACCAGTAGGGATTGCTAATGTATAAAATATATGCCCAAAGTTTACAAACCACGGTACCTACAAGTTAGGCTCCTAAAGCCACACTTAGGGTTATCGACACTTAAGACGTGATAGCCCCACAACTGTGCTGTTGCAGCAGTGCTGCTGTAGAGCTTCAGTGTGGATACCCGAGTGGTGGTAGCTAGGTCAATGGAAGAATTAGGTCAACTTAATCGAT